TCTGGTGGGCTGGGATCAATGAACTCCCAGCAAGGGCTAGGAGACAGGAAAGAAACATCTTTTCCCAGACACCCTTTACCCAGAAAGGCTGATAGCTACTTTACTCCCCACTGAGAAAGAGGAGTGGAATGGTTGGGGGATGACTTTTGAATGACATCAAGCTTTTCACCCTCCCAGGGGCAGAAGGGAGTCCCTTTGCACGTACTCCTGTCCCAAGTATAAGTCAGCTGAGGAGGGACAAAGAAAGGACACAACCCACAGAGCAAGGCAGGCACCAGAAATCTCAGGTTCTGGCCTGCGTGTGGCTTTAACTGCTGAATTTTAATCCCATTTTTCCCCTTTGCAAATGAAGAAATTGCCTAGACCCTAATTAACTGAGCTGAACAGCGAGTAAAGCTGGTTGTTAAATCCGAGTGCAGTTGGAAGGGACTCCCCTTCGCTCTCCACCAACCTTCAGGCACTGTTACCTTCGAGTGGGAGCCGTAGCAGCAGGCTGCACAGCCCAGCCCAGCTCTCTGAGGGCCCTGAGCAGTCCCAATGGCTTCTAAGGCCACTCAGAAGTTAAACGAGCCGCAGGCATCAGTGTTGGCAGATGCTCTAGGGCAGCCAATGCGCCAGTGGGGGGTGATTCAATCCTCAGGCTGTACTAAGGTGAGTTTTCTCCAGGGAGCCTCCCTGAGGATCAGAAGTCAAAGCAGCAGGATGTGGGAGAAGGGCAAGACAGTCAGACCTAGAACAGCAGTGCTGCTGCGGCCAGGGCTCCAGCCCTGGAGTGGCTATGGAACACCCTCTGGCCCCCCACGTTACCAGCTGGGATCCCTGACCTCTCCCTAGCGGTTGCTTCCCCTGCATTCCAACAGCAGCCCCTGGGCTAGCTGGCACCCAGGCTTTCCCCGTCCTGCTAGGAATACAGCCACCCATTCATTCCAGCCCACAATGCTGGGCATGTAAGCAGGGCTCCATCTGAGAAGCGGGAAGAAACAAGAGCGCCTCTTGTTCAGCTAATTAATTGTAAGTACAAGGCAAGGACAACCAGGAGGGAGAGGTCCCTGTGGCAAGTGTTTACCAGTTGAACCTGGCATGTGATGAGGGGGTTTGTTTCCTACCTTGCAGCTGGAGCCGTTCAATACACTTTAGTGGCAGCCCCCCTGGTACAAGGCCCTTAAAACAAGAGAGGCGCTACTCTCGGACTCCACCTGCCTGGGCCCCCGACACCAGAGGACTCCCAAGGGTTTTCAGACACCTTGTTTCCAAGCTACTCCACAATGTTTAAGACACTGTTAAAATACCTCCCTGTGCTGCAGGCAGAGAAACCTGCTGTGAAGGCAGCCACTGCTCCGCTAACAGACACCTCTTCTCGCCTGCCTTCACCACTGCATACAATGCACACAGAAACCTCAACAAAGCCAGGAACCAGCAACTTACCCCGGGGCTGCTTTTATTGCTGGGGCTGCTTCTTCTCCTCCAGTCAGCTTGCAATGATTTCCTCCTCCCCCTAATCAACTGACTTCTTCCACTTGCCTGGCTCCCTGCTGATGCTGACGCTCCCCCTTGATTAGCTGCAGTCAGCCTGAAAACGCATCTTCTTAAAGGGGACTCACTTCCCAGCACTGATTTTCCCTTCCTCCCGGTCCCTGACACCATCCCCACTGTCAACAGAATTCCACCGTCCCCCCCAGCTGCTTCTGAAAAACAATCTTGCCCATCTGCCCTCCTAGAGTGGCCTGCAACGAGCTGGACCACCCCATTCACTCCCTACCCATCACCCTGCCCGCTCGGAGTGAAAAGCACCTAGCCTGTGCCAGAGAGGCTGCTGCATTGCAGGGCAATTTCAATTGTGCTATTTGCAATAAGTTTGCCCCTGGAGAGTTAAGACATGTGAAGAGTAAAGGTTGGTCTAGACCACCAAGTTTTGTTGAGGAAACTAATGTTAACCCTTAGAAAACAACAAAGTCATCAATATGTGTTCACATCTCCTCCTCTCCCCCGTCAACAGACTCACATTGGGAAAAAAGCACTATGAGTATGTATTCTCCAGTGCCTAGTGACACTATCTGTCACTACGTGATGTTGGACCACAGAACACAGTGCAGGGCATCCTGGGACCATGCAAAATGTCCCATCACGCACCACTTTGCTCAGGAGCTTCTGACTTCCTTTCACACTTTTTTCCCAATTGCCATTCTTTGCTGTGTACTCTGGCATCTGCACATATGGGATTGGACCAACTCCTGTCTCCAGAACTTGATCAGATCCAACATCTTCATGATGGTCCTAGTGAGGGACCATTTGCTGTGATTGCCAGGCATGGATACCTGGGAAGATGCCATGAGACCACTGCATGCTGAGTCAGACTAGGAGAGAGGTCCCGATGCTCAGAAGCGTAGGGCACAATTGTGAGGTCGGCTCTGTGTGGTGCCCCATATCCATTGCCAGACTGTCACTATCCTCTCCAATGAATTCCACAGAAAAGCCAAGCAGAAGGAAATGAGATTACATTTTGCAGGGCTTTTGAGACTGCAGGGCAGCAGAGTTCAAACTGCGTCCCCGGATCAGGAACAAACAAAACCCCTGGAGGTGTCTACACTACATGTTTGTTGACAACCTAGGGAGGAGAAAGGACAAAAGTCCCTAGTGGACCTGGAAGGCAAATGCCATTTTTCCTGACAAAAGTCGTGTTGTGCATACTCACAGTTTTGTTACCAAAAGGCACTTTTCCTGGACAAAACTTGCCAGAGTAAACAAAGCCTAAGGGTGTGTGTCTGCTGCAATTAAATACTCCTAGCTGACCAGGTCAGTGGACTTGGACTTAAGGGGCTGTAAAACTGCAATGGAGATGTCCAGGCATGGGCTGGTGGCTGGGCTCTGGGACTTTCTCTTCTTGTAGGATTCAGGCTCTATGCCAAGCCCAGATGTCTCCATTGCAAGTTTCACAGTCCCGCAGGCCAGTCAGTGTTTAGCTGCAGTGTAGACACACCCCAAAAGGCTCATACATTTGCATACATTGTTCTGACGTGTCCTCCAAGGTGTTTCTTTGGCTGGCTGTGTAGCAAAAGTGTATATTTTAGAATTGCTTATAAGACTATGATGTGATGTAGAATGACTTGTTTATAAGTTCGGACTGCTTCTGTTTCTCTCTCTCATGATTAGATAATGTTTACTGTAAGGCCTTGCTCCCTGCTAGCATTACAAATTAAGTTGTGTCTTCTAGTAACTATCGATCTTGTCTAAAACTCCGTACAACTGTGTGCTGTGAGTGGAGGGTGTGTGTGAGTGAAAACCGTCACAGATGCCCAGGTGACCAAGAAGTGAAAACTTTGAAGATAAGGAAGAAATATCCATTGTGTTTGAGGCTGAATTGAATTAGCAGCATTGAGGAGACAGGCAGAGACCCCCAAGAGTGAGAGAGAACGCTGGGAAGCCTGACAATCACCATCATAGGATAACTGGAGAACACCGATTAATACCACCTAAGGGTGGATGACAGCAGCATGACACTGCAATATCCATAGATCCAAATGGGAACTTACATGCATAAGAAGGGAAGCTCTTGTCATGAGACTCTGGGTTCAGTCCTTCAAGCCAAGCCTCAGGGGAGTCTCAGAGGAACCCTGACTCAGTTAGCCTGGCCTGGCACAAAGACTGACTTGACCCACCATGGACTGGTAACTATGCTCCATCTGCAGGACCTGTGTGTGTGGGAGGGTTGTCTTTATAAAGCAGATGCTAACTGCTTCTTTACTGTATTCTCAATAAACACAGCGTATTCCCCTGAAAAAGATCCTGTGTGCTTCTTATAAGCATAATAGCTGGGCCTGGGCCTGCTTGTGAGACAGTATCAGTACTAGGCATACTGTATGTGCCCTCAATGGTGGGACTTCCCTTGAAGGGTGCTTGCCAGCTTAGAGACTGCACCAGATGGCTGCGGAGATTGGCAGTTCTTAGCAGGGATTTTCACTGAGAAACAGGAAAGTTTGTGGTGTTCATTTCAGCAGCACAGACCGATTCAGACCATCCATGGAACTGCACTGTGCAACTTTCCTCAGTGACCTTCCCATTACGCTCCACCGGGTACTAAACCCTGACAAATAAACCCAGGGCAGTAGGGCAGAGCCAGCCTGACTCCACATTCAAAACCACCCCCAAGGTTGCCTGCTTGCCCAGCCCGTGTTTCCATAGCCCAGGGTGCCAGCAGGAGCTATGTTCCCCTCCCGGCTGTGCCGACAGCAGGAAATTCTTATCGTGATTGGTGTGAGGCTGGCACTTCATCTCTGCCTACCTAGTGTCACGGGGCTTGGGGCCTGCTATGTGCTCAGAGGCAGTTTTCATATTCAGAGGGACAGCAGCAAGTGGAGACTTTAGTGGGATGGAATACAAAGCCCTGCGCCCCTGGAAGCTCCCCTTTTACCTTGATGCAGTAGGCAACTGCTTCCTTGGAGTGCCCCTGTTCATTGACCCCACCTTGGATTCTTTCAGACACATAATATGCTACATTAAACAAACCCCAGGCAGTCTTCATTAACCCCCAACATTACCTAGCCTCCCTCCTCAAATATTTGCATCAGAAGGTTCTCCCCAGCCTCCATTTCCCCAGTGCAAACAGGAAGGCGGGATTCATGGGTTTTATCACAATATAAAATGGCCAGGCTGGAATGGCTAGCACCACCGTGGTCATTGCACTGGTGCACGTAAGCAGGCAGACATGCTATTCTCTAACACAGGGAAGGGCAAAATACAGCCCAAGGACCACATCCGGTCCTCTAACCACCAGATCCGGCCCCCAGATCGCCCTGCTGGGACCCTCAGACACACGGCTGCCTGTCTAAAGTGCAATGTGAACAGTTCTCTGCTCTGTAGGCAGGGGGAGGCTTTGTGTGATCTCCCCACCCCTAGCTCAATCCTCAGCTCCTATTGGCTGGAAATAACCTGGGGGACAGGGGCAATGCAAGCCTCTTTCCCCTCCTTGGAGGGCACAGCCTGCAGCTCTAAGTGATCTGGGGCTTGGTTAGATGCCCTGAAGTAGCAAGTGGCAATGCCTTAATCATAGGTGTGTTGTAAAGGCCACTAGGACCTCTTCCATCCTTATCAAGGGGAGTGCTAACCTTAAGTGATCTGGGGGTGCTGTAGGGCTTCTGGCCAGGAAACACTTAGGTAGGCACCTCCCAGCCAGAGCCTGCCTCTGGCACCCTTGCCCCTCCTGCTCCCCAACTCCCTAACCCCCAGGTCACTATTGAAACCACCTGCCCCCAGTCACAACTCCCTTCTAGATCCTGTATCCCCTCCTCCACTCTCCCCAGGCCAAAATCCTCTCCTACACCCAAACGCTCTCCCAGACCCTGCACCCCATTCCCTTGCCCCAGATCACAACCCAAACTCTCTGCAGTCTGCTCCCCTCTTCTCCCAGGTCACAACTCCCTCCCAAACTTTGCACCACCTCCTAGAGCCACGCCCCCAGGCCAGAATCCTCTCTTGTGCTCACACTCCCTCCCTGGCCCTATACCCTAAACCCCTGATGCAGGACACAACCTCCTCCTTCATCCAAACTCCTTCTCAGACCTCACACTGTCTCCTGCACCCCAGTTCCTTACCCTATGAGCCCTTCTGCACCCCACCTCCACCACAGACCCCCCCCAATTCCTCCACAGAAAAGTGCAGCCCTTGACCACTTTCCAAAATCTTGGACTGGCCCCCCAACAAAAATTATTGCCCATCCCTGCTCTAACCAGTCAGGGGAAAGCGCGCAGCATCTCCTCCTGCCCTGCCCCCGCCCTGCTAGCAGTGGGTGGCATGTAGAAGTGCCGCGTGCTCTTGGCAGGGTGAGAGGAGACTGGCTCCAATATCACTGCTTAGATCCTTTGATTCTCTGGGATTTTTGATAAGCTGTCCCAGGAGACACTCAGTACATTGCAGGACATCGACGAGGTGAAGACGGACCAATGTGTCCTTACTACCAAATGTATCTTGCCCACGTATGTCCTCTGAATAGCCTACAGCAGCCCACGTATTATCCACAAATGACCTGGACTAGTTTAACTTATTTCTTTCTCCCTCCGCAAGCTCTCTCCCCCTTGTAGCAAAGAATGATGCAGACAGGCAGTGTCTCCATTGCACAGGAAACAGGATAGGGAGAAAACACAGGTAAGAGGTGTTCTCAGCACCAGCAGTTCCCCCTCCAAGATTGGGGGACAGGGGCAATGCAAGCCTCTTTCCCCTCCTTGGAGGGCACAGCCTGCAGCTCTAAGTGATCTGGGGCTTGGTTAGATGCCCTGAAGTAGCAAGTGGCAATGCCTTAATCATAGGTGTGTTGTAAAGGCCACTAGGACCTCTTCCATCCTTATCAAGGGGAGTGCTAACCTTAAGTGATCTGGGGGTGCTGTAGGGCTTCTGGCCAGGAAACACTTAGGTAGGCACCTCCCAGCCAGAGCCTGCCTCTGGCACCCTTGCCCCTCCTGCTCCCCAACTCCCTAACCCCCAGGTCACTATTGAAACCACCTGCCCCCAGTCACAACTCCCTTCTAGATCCTGTATCCCCTCCTCCACTCTCCCCAGGCCAAAATCCTCTCCTACACCCAAACGCTCTCCCAGACCCTGCACCCCATTCCCTTGCCCCAGATCACAACCCAAACTCTCTGCAGTCTGCTCCCCTCTTCTCCCAGGTCACAACTCCCTCCCAAACTTTGCACCACCTCCTAGAGCCACGCCCCCAGGCCAGAATCCTCTCTTGTGCTCACACTCCCTCCCTGGCCCTATACCCTAAACCCCTGATGCAGGACACAACCTCCTCCTTCATCCAAACTCCTTCTCAGACCTCACACTGTCTCCTGCACCCCAGTTCCTTACCCTATGAGCCCTTCTGCACCCCACCTCCACCACAGACCCCCCCCAATTCCTCCACAGAAAAGTGCAGCCCTTGACCACTTTCCAAAATCTTGGACTGGCCCCCCAACAAAAATTATTGCCCATCCCTGCTCTAACCAGTCAGGGGAAAGCGCGCAGCATCTCCTCCTGCCCTGCCCCCGCCCTGCTAGCAGTGGGTGGCATGTAGAAGTGCCGCGTGCTCTTGGCAGGGTGAGAGGAGACTGGCTCCAATATCACTGCTTAGATCCTTTGATTCTCTGGGATTTTTGATAAGCTGTCCCAGGAGACACTCAGTACATTGCAGGACATCGACGAGGTGAAGACGGACCAATGTGTCCTTACTACCAAATGTATCTTGCCCACGTATGTCCTCTGAATAGCCTACAGCAGCCCACGTATTATCCACAAATGACCTGGACTAGTTTAACTTATTTCTTTCTCCCTCCGCAAGCTCTCTCCCCCTTGTAGCAAAGAATGATGCAGACAGGCAGTGTCTCCATTGCACAGGAAACAGGATAGGGAGAAAACACAGGTAAGAGGTGTTCTCAGCACCAGCAGTTCCCCCTCCAAGATCAAACCCTTAAGACACATTTCTTATAACTAGACCAAAGGAGCTGTCACTATACCACCAAGCTTCTGGGAGATGGGGGATCCTAGCTGTGGATGAAATCAGCATTAATTCTTCTGCAGGAGAAACTGGCAAAGCACCTGCACCCCAGACTGAATTAGAACCTAAACCCTGAGGCTCCAAGTAGCATTTCCTGCCCGTTCTGTTCCTGTTGTCCACGGCAGGGTCCGAACCTCACACCCACATTCTGTTTTCATTTGGAATTGGCTTTTGCTGCCTCCCTTCCCTCGTCCAGTGGTAAGCCCCTGCTTTAAGCCCATTCGGCCATGTGGCTGCCTTGCTCTCTCTTCCCTGTGCTTCCTATAGCTGTGGTGATGCTGCTAAAGCTGCCACAGAGCCCTCTGAAAATGAGCTACAAAACAGACTAGACAGGATTGATTCAAGCCCCTCACTTCAGCGAGCACCACAAATAACAATTGCTGAGAAAGTGCTGCTATTGCCTCAAAACCAGGGCCAGAAATCCAGCCTCAATCTGCTTATACTGCAGCTGGATTATACCACTTTTTAATGACTTAATAAAGCTCTAACCTCTATCAATGGGCATTAGTGTTTTAATCTCCTTAATAGTGAAAATCCTGTCCACATGCCAACCACAGCATTGTGGGGAAGCATCAGATCTGGGGGAAACTGAAGAGTGAGGGGAAGATGGTCCAGCGATTAGGGCCCTGGCCTCAGGCTTGGAAGACTCTGCTTCAAGTTCTTCTCTCTGGGTATGTCTACACTACCACCATAGTTCGAACTAGGGTGGTAATGTAGGCAACCGGAGTTGCAAATGAAGCCTGGGATTTGAATTTCCCAGGCTTCATTTGCATCTCGCCGGGCGCCGCCATTTTTAAATGTCTGCTAGTGCGGACTCCATGCTGCGCGGCTACACGCGGCACGGACTAGGTAGTTTGGACTAGGCTTCCTATTCCGAACTACCATTACTCCTCGTTTCACAGCAGTAACGGTAGTTCGGAATAGGAAGCCTAGTCTGAACTACCTAGTCCGTGCCGCGTGTAGCCGCAGGCACGGAGTCCGCACTAGCGGACATTTAAAAATGGCAGCGCCCGGCGAGATGCAAATGAAGCCCGGGAAATTCAAATCCCGGGCTTCATTTGCAACTGTGGTTGCCTACATTACCACCCTAGTTCGAACTAGAGTGGTAGTGTAGACATACCCTCTCAGAATTCCTGTGTGACCACGGGCAGGTCACTTAGCCTCCCGGAGCCTCGAGTTCCCTCACTGGAATGACGAAGGGGAAGACAGCATGGCCCTGCCTGAGAGGGCTCAGTCTGTGTGTGGATACATACACTACAGATTGTGAAGGGCTCTCAATCAGTAATTCAGATAGTGAGGGGAACTTTCCGAACCAAGTAGTTTTGCAGTGGTGAAATTGTTTTGATTGGCAAGAAACAGGGAGTAGTTGTTTCCCTAAACGCACTAAGTTTCAACCTTCCAGTCTTCTGGAGAAGTATCAATTTTCTATTTGCCACCTATGATCTCGCCCTCCTGCTGCAGTGCAAGGGAGCATCTGTGTGGGAAAAGCATCCGCTCTGACAGCTTGTTCCCACAGCCTGCTCCATAAAACATAAGCCTTAACCACCGGCAGGGCAAGAAACTTATTCAGATTCTACGAGTCCTGGGGAGTCTAATCTTCACTCTTCCCCAAACACAGCCCCTGGTTAAAGTACCAGCAGAAGAGCCACATTTTCAGCCTTGACTAGGAGTCCAACAAATCACAAGGGACACTCTGGACCTACCTTCTGCTTTGCTCAACCCTTTCAGGTGAAGCTAGAGTGAGGTTTGGGAAAGCGGCTGGGCTAGGAAAAGGGCCATTCAGCATGGTCTCAAAAAATAACACATTCCTGTGCAGTGAGTGAGGCTGGGCCGCCTGACCTCTGGCTAAGAAGGGGAAGAACAGCTCCCAGAGACTGATGCTTCCAGCCTGGCTCACACCCACCAGCTGGCACAAGATGGAAGGAAGGAAGGAAGGAAGGAATCTTTCTGGATTTTGCCATCGGTCAGTGTGCAAAGCTGGCTCTGTGCCAGTGGGATGTGTCAGCTGCTCTGTCAAGGGGGTGTGACTCACTTCCCTTCAGCCAGCACTGCCAATGCAGCAACAACTGCTCTAACTGTAGCTGGTCCGCAGGACCCCCTGCTGCTAAGGAGCTAGGTAATGTTGGAGGCTCCCTTGGGGTTTATCTAACAGTCACTCCTCAGAGGCGAGTGGGCACTTCTGAGAGGCAGGCGCAGGGCCAAACACACACATGGGGCATCATCCTCTGCTCATGGAAGACACAAGCTTGACAGAGCAACGTACTCATGAGACAACCAAAATGTCCCAGGATCAGGCCCAGCAGTTAGACATGCTTTTAAACTTGTCTTTACACTGTGGGTGGGAACTTTTTTGGGTTGGGGGCCACTGACCCACAGAAAAGTCAGTTGGGGGCCACACACTAGTGAGAAGCTAATTCTTTCCGTGCCGTTTGCATGCCCTAATAGGAACAGCCACATTTGACAATGGCCCCATCTTGCCCTTACTCACCTAAGTAAATCCAACTGACGCAGAGCTCTGATTCCCCCGGGTAAGGACTTTCATGCATTGATATTCATGACTGTCAAAGCACTACACACGTA